CACACACCAACACTGCTGAAATCACACACAAACACACCAACACTGCTGAAATCACACACAAACACACCAACACTGCTGAAATCACACACACACACACCAACACTGCTGAAATCAGGCACAGAAAGCAGCCTGTCCTTCCTTTTCAAGCAATCCCTGCACACCACGTTTCCTTTCACCCCACAGAGACTCCTCTCTACATCTCTGAAGGATCTCAACTCCTTTGGCATGGATGTTGATCCACCTGAAGAACCCCACATTTCTGCAGCTCAGCTCCCCCCAGCCTGGCTTTTCCCTCTGCTGTTCCCTCCAAATCCCAAAGGATTTATTCTGCTCACACATATCCCAACAATCAGCTACAACAAAGGATTCCCTTCTTCTTTGAGGGATCTCAGACTTGCAAAGGGAGAGCAATAAAGTTTACACTCATTATCCAAACGAGCAGGAGTTGATTGCTGGAGCCAAGCCCAGCATTCAGCAGCAGCCAAGGGAGTCTGGGCTGCTGTGGGAGAAAGGTCAAACAAACCTAAGCCAGGCTCAGATAAAGGTCTGGAGTAGTGGACTCTGCCCTTAGGGTTTAAACCAGGATCAGGTAGAAGGAGGAACTGCCTCAGACTGCTCTGGCTGCCTCAGTAAAGCCCAACGTGGGGCTCAGTAAAGCCCAACGTGGGGCTCAATAAAGCCCAATGTGGGGCTCGGTAAAGCCCAGCGTGGGGCTCGCTAAAGCCCAACATGGGGCTCAGTAAAGCCCAATGTGGGGCTCAGTAAAGCCCAGCGTGGGGCTCGGTAAAGCCCAGCGTGGGGCTCGGTAAAGCCCAGCGTGGGGCTCGGTAAAGCCCAACGTGGGGCTCGGTAAAGCCCAGCGTGGGGCTCGGTAAAGCCCAGCGTGGGGCTCGCTAAAGCCCAACATGGGGCTCAGTAAAGCCCAATGTGGGGCTCAGTAAAGCCCAGCGTGGGGCTCGGTAAAGCCCAACGTGGGGCTCGGTAAAGCCCAACGTGGGGCTCGGTAAAGCCCAGCGTGGGGCTCGGTAAAGCCCAGCGTGGGGCTCGGTAAAGCCCAACGTGGGGCTCGGTAAAGCCCAGCGTGGGGCTCGGTAAAGCCCAGCGTGGGGCTCAGTAAAGCCCAGTGTGGGGCTCACACCTGGGCTGAGCAGGTGTTGGCTCTCAGTCACTTCTTGGGCTCCAGGGTGGGAGTTTGGGGTTTTTTTAATCACTTTTTCCTACTTTTAGGCTCTTTTTCAATGCCAGCTACTGGAGACCCCCAGGATCAGTGAAGATCTTGGTGGATGCTCTGGGAATTGCTGTGGGAATTCTGATTTTTCCAGCTGCAGATCTCCTGCTCCAGTTCCCAGGGAGGACACACACAGCACGGAGACACTGACAACGCCTCCAATCTTCTTCCATCCCTTTTCCCAGGGTGGGATCCCAAGCTCACCCCAGCCCACCCCGATTCCTCTGGATCCAGGGGACGGATCAGGGGCCAGTTCCTCACCTGCTGCTGGGAATTGTAGTCAAAGAGCCCCACGGTGGCAGCAGCCGAGTCCACGGGGACCTGAGTGCCGGAGTAATCGAACTGCAGCGGCTCCATGCCCACGTGCTCCATGGGGTCCAGGGGCACGCTCTGGGATTCCATGTTGGAGAAATCCTCCACGGGCTTGGCCCCGTTGGTGCTGGCCAGCTGGGCCAGCCCCTCGGAGCCGTTCTGGTTGGGGCCCAGCAGATCCACCTCGCTGGCCGAGTTCTGGCAGTTCCCGGGCGTGCGGCTGTGCGGGGAGGGGAAAACGCGTCAGGAAAAGGGGCAGAAACACTCCAGCCCAGCATCTCACCCTCCAGAGCTGCCTGGAGGTGCTGGAGTACAACAGGGAAACATAAAGACAGGGTCTGAAAGAGTTCCCTGAGTTAATTCTATACGGAAATAGGTCCTGGCACAGGTGCCCAGAGCAGCTGTGGCTGTCCCTGGATCCCTGGCAGTGCCCAAGGCCAGGCTGGACATTGGGGCTGGAGCAGCCTGGGACAGTGGGAGGTGACCCTGGGACAGTGGAGGTGACCCTGGGGACAGTGGAGGTGACCCTGGGACAGTGGGGGTGACCCTGGGACAGTGGGGGTGACCCTGGGGACAGTGGAGGTGACCCTGGGACAGTGGGAGGTGATCCTGCCATGGCTGGGTGGCTCTGGATGGGATTTCGGATCCTTTCCAGCCCAGCCCATTCTGGGATTCTGTGATGTCCCAGCCCACACAGCGAGCAGAGCTGATGAAGAGGGAAGGAGAGGGTGTTTGGAGTGATGGTGTTTGCTCTTCACCAGTCCGTCACACAATCCCAGTCAGGGTCAGGCTGGGAGGACCCCAGAGGGTCACTGGTGCCACCCCCTGCTCCAGCAGGGCCAGCCCAGGGCACAGAGCACGGGGCTGTGTCCGTGTGGCTCGGGAATACCCCAGGGAGGAGCCTCCAGCCCCTCTCCGGGCTCTGCTCAGGGCTGGAACAGCATCCCAGAGAATCCCTTTGGATTCTGTCCCCATGGCACTGCAGGGGCTGAGCTGCTGGCTGGGGTTAAACCCCAACACTGATTAATTATTAACTGATTAATTAATAGCCACCAACGCACACACCTGAAGTCTTTGACGTCGGCATCGATCCCGTTCTGGACAGGCAAACCATTGGATTTATCCATCACATCCCCCTCCTCCTTCAGATCTCCCAATTTATCTCCATCAAACGTGCCCTTGCTTTTCTTATCCCCTTTGTCATTCTCGTCACTCTCTGCATCCCTTGGCCCCTGGGCAAAAGAGACATTGTTTTAATCAGCTGAGTTTTCAGATCAGTTCTCCTGTTACCCCGAGATGGTAACAAATCAAAGATGTCACAATAAAGGAAGTCACTTGCAAACATTAATTCCTACCAAAAAAATAGGTAAAAATGCAAAATATTCAATAATAATCAAAGAAGTAAGGGAATTAGATCTCACTCTTCTAAGAGGGGTTTCATCTATTCAGGTTTCTTCCATTTAGTAACTCAAGGTTTGTTTTCGTGGGCTCTAAAAACCCCATCCCAAAATAATTTTAAGGAATTCTCCTTCTAGATGAGACTTCAGCACTTCAAATTCAACACCAGCAAATGCTGCAGGGGCATCAAGTGAATTTGTGCTTCTCTCAAGTGCCTGCTCAGTGTCAGAGACAGCTCTTGACTGGACACGTGCTTGAAAACCACCTCAGTTTTGGGGACATCAGCAGTGAATTCCAAGGCACAGCTCATTTAAAACCACTCAAATAAATCACTGCCTCAGCCACTGGCTCCTGTGATCCTGAAGCACATTTCTTTGGGAGAAAAGAGGAAAAAAAAAAACCAAGGAAAAAAAAAAAGGATTTCTGTTCTGTTGAGCATTTCATGAGTGGTGTGTGTTACATCTGCAGCGTGTCTGCTCTTTATTTCACTTGGGAGGAGAATAAAGGGTGTTGATGCCTGGGGCAGAGTTTTGAACAACAAAAAGGAGAGGAAAAACAACATAATTTATGATAAAAACCAGCAAGGGGCATATAAACATATTTATCAGAGGTGCTGTCACAGGGACCGACACCCAAACCCTGCCTTCCACATGATGGCAGGGAGAGGTGCTCTGCACACATTTCCACCCACTGAACCTTTTCCCACTCTCTCTGGCTGGAGAAAGGGGTTTCTCCCTTATATTTGGAGAAAAAAAAAAATTGTTGTGAAAGCAAAAATCTTTTTGCTGTTGCTTCTGACAGAAAATGAAACTGTGCTTCCTTAGTATTACTTGGAAATGCCAGCTGTCAACGCAGCCTTGGAGCAATTTTCCCCCAAAGAAGGGGGTGACAGCTGTGTCACCTCTGTCACCCTGGTGTGCTGAGGATCAGATCCCAGCTGGGATCACCTGGCTCCTTGCCCTGAGTGCCCAAACCTCCTCCTGAGGGCAGCAGTCCTAGGAGGGTGAGGGAAGCTCCAAAGGATTCATCCTCAGGGTGCTTTTCCCCCATTTCTGCAGCTCTTTCCCCTCCGCAGGGCTGGGTTTGATTCCACCTCTCCCCACATCCCTGTGCTCCTTCCCACCCCACGAAACACAGCGGTGCTGCCTTTTCCCGCTGCATTCCTGCCTGGACAGGATTCCCAGCTGGAAAACATCCATCCAGCACGCAGGAATTCCAGGGAAGGCTGTGTGAGACCAGTGTATTTATTTCTGGGGCTTCGGGGGGTGTTTATCCCAAAAAACAGCGTAAGGAAAACCGACAGGACAAGGATAAACATTGTGCCAGGAGAGTTATCACCAGGGAAAGGCTGGGTTTGGAGCTGGGATCCCATTTCCTGGGACCATCACATGGAATTTCTGTTCTGAGGCAGCACCACAGGATCACTGGAGGTTTGTGGAACCTTTTCCAAGGATTAGCTTGGATGGGGTGTTTCTGCTGGGGGGCTTTTCCAAGGATCCAGAGAACGCCAGCACCTTCCCATCTCCCATCCCACATCCCCAGGGCAAGAACTGAACCTGCCCTGTTTGAGGGCAAAGAAAGAAACCTATGTTGTAGTTGATAGCCTGAAATGTATCTTTTCCCATCTTTTAGTTGTGATTCCCCCCCAGCTTCTCTTTCTCCTGTTTACCTGGTGTCAAGTTACCATGGTTACTGAAGTTTCTCTCCTCAGCCCCACGGCGAGAGGCCGGATAGAGTAAAGAGAGGACCCCGCTGGCATTTCCAGCTGCTTGAAGTTTCTTTAGCCCAGGAAAGCACGGGGTTGGGAGAAGAGAACCCTTCTTTCCAACATGGAAGTTGGTAACTCTGTTTTTCCTGTCCCAGAATGCCTCTAAACTATGGAAGCTGGGAGGGAATGCTTACCTTGCCTTCCCTTTCTTTCCCCCCTGTGCTGCCAGGAAACCAAGCCCCCCCTCTCTCCCCCTCTGTACAGAATACTCCCACACCTTTGTGGGCATTTGAAGAAGTTGGTGTCTGTTATTTCTCATCTTGCTGTGTGTAACCTTGATTTGTAGAAAGTTTGTAAGATGTACTAACTGAGAAAAATAATTGGTTTTCTCTCTGATGTTCCCTCCCTCCGAGAAACCCTGTTAAAAGGAGACCCCCCCCAGACCCCAAATCCTTTGTCTCTCGTCCTTTGGATTCCCCTTCACAGAAATAAACTGTGGGATGCAAACCAGAGAGAGAGAGTCCCCCCCTGATTTCTTTACTCGCTCTATAGACTTGGATTCTTGAAGAAAATCAGTGAACCCCACAAACATCTGCTGGCTCGAAACTCGAGTGAAGAGAAACCTCATCACTGAGCTAGCCGGGCCACACTCGAGAAGATCGAGTCAACCTCTGCCCTGGGAACGACTCCCAAGCAAGCAGCAAAAGGAGAAAAGACCAGGAATGTGGGGATGAGGCACTTACAAATCCTCCTTTCCTTAGGCAGGAGTCTCCAGGAGATGAGCTCAGCACGTACTCCACCATGCTCACCCCCAGCCCTCCGCTCTCGGAGCGCGGGGACAGCACCGAGTTCACCTCGCTGTTCACGTGGAAACCCTGCCCAGGTCTTCTCTGAACCATGATTGGCTGGGAAACAGAGTGATCTGCAACAAAAACATGGCAGATTCTCAAAGAACATCCAAATATTCAAAGGAGCAAATGAAATCATTCCGTATCTACTCCCCGGAGGTTTATCTGCATGGAGAAGTGGCAAATTTGTGACTCTGCTGATGCCCATCAGTAAAATCAGGATGGCTTTCTCTTTCTTGAAATACTACAACAGATGAAAATATCCATTTTTATCAGGGAAAAGCCCATCCCAGAGTGAGGTACATCCTGGGAGCTGTAAATCCCATTTCCTAGAGCTGTAAATCCCATTTCCTGGGATCTCTACATCCCATTTCCTGGAGCTGTACATCCCATTTCTGGGAGCTGTACATCCCATTTCCGGGAGCTGTACATCCCATTTCCTGGAGCTGTAAATCCCATTTCTGGGACCTGTACATCCCATTTCCTGGAGCTGTACATCCCATTTCCTGGAGCTGTACATCCCATTTCTGGGACCTGTACATCCCATTTATTTCCTGGAGCTGTACATCCCATTTCCTGGAGCTGTACATCCCATTTCTGGGACCTGTACATCCCATTTCTGGGACCTGTACATCCCATTTATTTCCTGGAGCTGTACATCCCATTTCTGGGACCTGTACATCCCATTTATTTCCTGGAGCTGTACATCCCATTTCTGGGACCTGTACATCCCATTTATTTCCTGGGAGCTGCACCACACACCCAGCAGTGTTTCAGGTTTCAGAAACCACGGAAAGAACAAATCAAAGATCAGCATTTCAAACCCAGCACTTGCAGGTTTGTTTTTCTTTTCCTAAAACCTGAATATTGTCCCCCCAAAGTCCAAAATCAGGGGGAGCCAAGAACAAAATCCTTGGCAGATAAATTTCCATTTTATTTTTTTTTATTTTTTTCCTTTTTAAACTGAATGTTGCTCTCAAGTTCAAAATCAAGGACAGTCTGTGATGCAAGAACAAAATCCTTGGCAGACATAACACTAATTCAAAACATCATTTTATTTATTTTTTTT